ACACACACACACACACACACACACACACACACACACACACACACACACACACACACACACACACACACACACACACACACACACACACACACACACACACACACACACACACGAACACGAACACAACACGTACTGCGAAGATAATGTCGCCTGGGTACAAGCGGCCACTGGAAGGGCCGGTTGCCGCCACAAACGAGACGCACAGACCACGGTCGGAGTCCAGGATGCTACCAAGAACAACGCCAAGGCCCTGGCCCTTCATGGCCACGCTCGTCTCAACAAGCGTATACTCAGCCCAATTCAGCCCCACGGCGTCCATGCTGTCTTCCAGACTGGCACTGCTGGTGTCGTTTTCACTGGACAGCTGGTCCGTCGCTGCCGTGCCACCACAACTGCCGTTGCTCCTGTCGTTGCCGCTGTTGCCGCTGTTGCTGTTGTTGTTGTGATGGTGGTGTGTTACGTCGTGGATTCGGTCGTGGGTGCGATGAGGTGCAACTCGGCCTTTGGCGTCGAAGCTGAACTGCAGCGCCTCGTACAACGTGTCATCATCCAATTCGCTCTCATCCTGATTGCAGCTCTTGTTTTTGTCTTCTGGAACAGCTTGCTCTCTCATCGTTTGCTGCAGCTGTACTCGATCTTTGTTGTGGCGCGTCGTCGTGGCTGGGGCTTGAACACGCTGTGCCATCAAGCTCTCCTCATCATCGGCACTTGCCTTGTAACTGCCGCTCTCTGTGAGCAGTGTTGACTCGCCCAGTCCTGACGGCTGGCAAGGCATCAATGGCGAAGGCAGCTGGCATTGCCGCTGCTGCTGCTGCTGCTGTTGCTGCTGTTGCTGTGACTGCTTCGGTTGCTGTCGCTGCTGCGGCTGCTGTGACGGCTGCTTGTTTCGTTGTTGCTGTTGTTGTGACTGTTGCTGTTGCAGGGCTTGCCCTTGTACTTGCTCATGTTGTTCCTGTTGTGTGTTGGCTTTTACCGACATGTGGCGGGAGTTGAACATGGCCTGCTTGGCGAGGTCGGTTGCCCGGCTGCACTTGTGCTTCGGCTGTTGTCGCTGCGCAGCCACTCGTTGTGGCTCCAGGTTGTGGATCGGTCGCAGCGGACTGAAGTGCTCGCGGAGTTTCCTCGAAGGCGACCCTGATGCTGGCGCAGGGGTTGATGCAGGATGTGCGGGCGGCGCAGCAACCGCGGGTGTGCTGAGCGGGAGTGGCTTGAGCTCCATCCCGGTCGGGCTGTTCATTGGCTCCAAACGCAAGACGGAGCGCACTTTGCTCGCGTCTGGCGACTTGGGTGACATGCATAGCGCCTTGTTACGCACTGGGCTGGGGGCCAGCGGGCTCGGGTAGAACCCGCGGTCGCCGTCCTCCGCACACACGGGGCTGTGGTTTGTGCTGGCGTCATTTCCATTGTGGTTGTCAACCGGCGTGATGATGCCTTGTCGTGCTTCCTGCCTCTGTGATGGAGTTGTCGTGGCCTCGGTGCTGAAGACGGCAGCATGGATGTCTGCCAAAGGCGCATTCATCGTGCTGGTCTCCTGCTGCAACAACATCACGCGTGCAACAAGCAGAAAGAATATGCATTAGTACAGCTGTTCTCGCGGTCTTCAAAGCTTCAACCAGGGAGTAGGTTCTTGGCAACTGTGGCGTTGAGACTGGTGGCAAGATGGATGGTGGTTGCTCAGTCCAGACACCCACACCCAAACAACGACAACAACGCACCCAAACAACCAACCAGTAGCGCAAGCGAGTGCTCTTGTCGCGGAGCACAACAGCGATGACAAGGTGTGTGTGTGGTTTTTCAAATCGTTCGCGGCGAAAATTGAGTCGAATGTTTACTGAAACCATTCACAATAATCGTCAGGTCGAGTTTGTGTGTGTGTGCGATGTGTGCGATGTGTGTGTTGTGTGTGTGGTGTGTGCGATGTGTGCGATGTGTGCGATGTGTGTGTGTGTGTGTGGTGTGTGTATGTGTGTACATGCTGGTGTCAGAAGTTGATGTCTCTCAGGGACTCGTAGTCTGGGTCAATAAACGATGTACGATCTGTGTAATAACACCACGCAGCAAGACAAAGTGGTTTGAGGCGGTGTGAGATGACACATGGCACAAACAATCACACACATAGGGCACAAACACGCAGAGCCAAGGCAATCACAATTCACATACCGGCTTCATCGCCGTCGCCCTCTGGGGATGGATCGTTGGAGAGGGCATTCATGGCATCAAGGTTCAGCGTGCAGGGAAGCAGGCCGCGATGCCTGGTGTGGTTAATTGTAGTGCAGATGCGCACGCGTGTGCATGTCAGCGATGCGCTCAAGCAGGAGAAGACGAAGATGAACAAGAAGAAAAAGCAACAGGAGAAGCAAGAACAAATGGAAACAGCACACACACACACACACACACGACATGAGGTGGTTGCTGTGCTCACTCTGAATGGAAGAGGATGAGTTCGCCGAGGTCGTGGAAGATGCGCTCTCCGTCGTGCTCACTGCCCAGCATAAACCCGCCCGCCGTTCGCTGTACACACACACACACACACACACACACACACACACACACACACACACACACATAACATCACGTGAGCGCGAGTGATACATGCAATCACATCGTCAGTGAGCGACTGCCAGCAGTGGATGCGCAGAGCGAGGCAGCAGCACAGTGTCCTGGCTTGGTGCTCACCTTGATGATGAAGTTGTGGATGCGGCCGAGGGCTTTCATGGTGAGGGCAAAGTGGCCGGCATGCGATTGGCTTTGGCGCACAAGGAACGCCCCGTCATCGCTCATGCTCAGCAGCTCCATCGCAATCTCGCGTGGCAGCCCTGTGTGTGCATGCACGTGTGCATGTGTGTTCGAGTGAGTGGGTGTTCGAGTGAGCAAGCATTTGAGTGGGTGAGTGAATGTAAGCGAAGATTTCAGCATTTGAGAGAGCGTGCATGTGGAGCACATGCAAATGTGGGCTTGTGTATCAACCGTGCAGAACGGCAACCCAGCATCCATCAACATGTGTCCAAGCCGCCGCAAACACCCCGCGTGGCCGACCTGCTTGGTACCACGGTGCGCTCTCCAACAAGGCAAGGCCACCATCGTCTTGCTCCTGCTGCGACTCAGCCAGCAGCTCAAGCTCTTGCACTGCACAAAGGTGGGATGGTCGCACGGTCAGGGTTGTGTGGAGGTGGTTGGGGGCAGGAGGGAAAGCGAGTGGTGTCGCGAAAAGAACCACGGATGGTGGTAAGCTGGCATGATTCAGGCACACACACACACACACACAGACACACACAGACACACACAGACACACACAGACACACACAGACACAGACACACACACACACACACACACACACAGACACACACACAGACACACACACAGACACACACACAGACAGACAGACAGACACACACACACACACACACACACACACACACACACAGGCTCACTTTCGCGATCAAGCGCGGCCATGGATGGGGCGCTCGGTTGCGTCGCGCGCTGTGGGCCCGGGAACACCTCTTCCTCAACAATGCCATCATACCGCATGCCCTGCTGCTGGCGCTGCTGGCGCTGCTGCCGCTGTGGTGGGCGGGGTTGCAGGTCTGGGTCCTGGCTGGGGTGCTGCGAGCCAAGCGCGTCATATCTCTCCTCCATCGTCACCACAACAGCTGGCGGCTCTTCTTCCTGCACGTCCTCCAACAAATCATTCTCCTGCTGCTGCTGCTGCTGCTGGTGGTGGTGGTGCTGTGGAGCAGATGGGGAGGCAGGCATCCCCCTCAGGCCCGCCTCACTGGACGGTGTGCGGCGCGGTGAGTGCTCGGATGCGGTGCTTGTGCTGAGAGAGCGCACGTCCTTGTGGTGGGGCGCCCCCTGCAGCGGGTTGTGCTTCGCCCACTGCCGCCGCTCCGCCCGCTCGTCACTGCTCGTCTCTGCCAGATGGGAAGAGGGGGAGGGGGGAATGGTGAGAGACAAATCGTGGCAGGTGATGCCAAGTTTGGAGTGCACATGCATACATTTGTAGTAGGTACGCACGAAAGCACACGTCCACACACACACACACACACACACACACACACACACACACACACACACATTTATGCATGAAGATAAACACACATACGCATACACACACATGTACGCATGAAGATAACACACATACGCATACACACACACGCATACACATCACACAACACACACACGCATACACATCACACAACACACACACGCATACACACACATACGCACCGAGGCCCTGTCGCGTGCGATGCTTGTAAAAGGCGAGCTTGAACGCCTTGCTGACGGTGGTGTGGGTGCCCTGTGCGTGGCGTGGGCTCGGCATGTGGAACACGTGGCAGTATTGCTGCTGTCGCCGCGTTGCGTCGCGGGCAACAAAGCCAAACAGAGCGTGGTCTCTGACAACGGTGCACATGGTCACGTTCTGCAGGGCGTGTGCCATCACCACGGCAAATGCAGAGTTGTCAATCACTTTGATGCCCTCGAGGCACACGAGCAGGCACGCTGGGCGGCCTTGCGCAATATACTCCTGTGTGCGTGCGTGTGCGTGTGCGTGTGTGTATGTCATCATGATGATGGCGGTGGTGAGAATGACACGAATGGATGCGACAAGCAACATCCACACCAGACACAGGAGCAGTCGCCAACAGCTGGTGCGTTGACGAACCTTCATGACGGCAATGCCTGCCTTGACAGACTCGCGATCAACGGCGCCCGTGCCAACCTCAAACGTCCCCACATACTGCACAGGGTGCGATGCGGTGCCGGAGCCAGGCGTCAGCGTGCGTGTGTGCGTGCGTGTGTGTGTGTGCGTGTGTGCGTGTGTGCGTGCGTGCGAGCGTGTGTGTGTGTGTGCGTGCGTGCGAGCGTGTGGGGTGTGTGTGTGTGTGTGTGTGCGTGTGGGGGTGTGTGTGTGTGTCACGCGGTGTGATTTACACAAAGCCGACGCATGTAACACACGCAAGTACAGGGACACACCACAACAATCCAATACCCAAACACCCGTGCAAACGTGTCTCATTACAACCACACACACACACGCAAACAGAATCTGGACATCACCTTGCACATGACCTTGACGTCGCGCCACTGCCGCAGCATCTGCTCGGGGTCCTCAGAGGCGGACTGCTGCTGCTGCTGCTGCTGCGGCGCTGCGCGTGGTGCAGTTGGTCGCCGCCCAGCCTGCGCCTGCATTTGCTGCTGTCGGTGTTGCTGTTGTTGCTGCTCGAGTTGCCGCTGGCGTTGCCGCTCCATGGCAGCTGCCTGCTGCTTCTGGCGTGCTTGCGCCTGTCGTCGAGCGAGCGCCTGGGCACGCTGCATAGCCACAACCAACAATTGGCAATTGAGCACACCCCGTCCACACAAACAAACACACATGCACATAAGCAAACGCATGCATGCCCGTGCATTCCTCCACCCTTCTCTGTCTCTGTCTGTCTCTGTCTGTCTCTCTGTCTCTCCATGTCTCTCTCTCTCTCTCGCACACTCTCTCACACACACACACACACTCTCTCTCTCTCTCTGTGTTCTGACAGGCGTTTGTACACCGTCGTCGAACACAGTACCACATAACCGGTGTCGCGTACATTCCCAATTGCATACGCCAAGCGTACCTGCTCCTCCTCGACGGAACGGCGGAGGGCCTCCTGCATCTGCGCTTCTTCCTTGCGCCTCAGCTCTTCCTCTGCCTTGGATGCGGCCATGGCCCGCTCCATCTGCGCCCGTTCCTTCTGCGCAGCTGCCGCCTCCAGCTACGCATGGTTTCGTGTTGCGTGACGCACGCGTTTGTGCACATCAGCGCTGTGTGAGACCATTACGACGAAGTTGGGCCGCAAGCGTGCTCCAAAAGCACGCACACACACGCACACACACACGCACACACACGCAGTACGCACACACACGCACGCACACACGCACACACACACACGCAGTACGCGCACACACGCAGTACGCACACACGCAGTACGCAAGAACGCACGCAAGAACACACACCACGCACACACACACATGAACACCCACCGCTCGCTTGCGTTCCGCCTTGGCTTGTGCCAGCTCTTGTTTCTTCCTTTCCCGCTTTTCCTTGGCCTCGCGCTCCTTCTGCTTGCGCTCAGCCTTTCGCTTTGCATCCAGCAAGTACATGGCGGCGGGTGGTCCCTGTCTGTCTCTGCTTTTGCTACCTGTGCTGCGTGCTGTGCTGTGCTGTGATGGCGAGATGAGAGTTCCGTGTCGTTATGGTGCGTGCGCGCTGTTTTGCAGTTTCTGGTTGTTCGTTGTTGTTTGATTCGATGTGCCTGATTTGCCAATTGCGTGCCCAACCAATGCATTCCCAATTGCAAATGGTCTCACGCAATCAATGCTCGCAGGTTCTAGTAAAGATATTAACTAATATTCCAACGTTGCTTCTGCTGACAGTGAGTGCGCAGAGTTTTCTTGCTCTCTTTCGCCTTGTGCGGGTTCGTTGGTTGTGCGGGATTGCCTCACACCGCCTGCTCTGCTCTGGTTGCCATTTTCCACTCCGTCCAACAAGAAGATCCACTGCAAGCAAGCCCTTCTCAACGTTTTCTGTCTGATCTCCTCCACACACCAATATGTCTGTCAAGGTTGGCATCAACGGGTGAGTTGGCAGCACCAGCTACAAACAGCGAATGTGCTGTGCCTGCTTGTGACGGCATTCAGTCCAAGGAGGTTGTTGGTGGTGTTGTTGATCAACAATACAAGGAGGGGCTTGTGGTGGTTGGTTGTTCGGGTTTCACTCGACTCACTGTTTGTACTGTTTGCGTGTGCATCATCTGCAATTTCCCGCGGCAGCTTCGGCCGCATCGGTCGCATTGTTCTCCGCGCCGCCCTCAAGCACCCCGAGGTCACCGTCGTCTCCGTCAACGACCCCTTCATGGACCTCGACTACATGGTACACCTGTGTGTGTTGATGGGGGACGTACCTTCAACTGGAAGCATCCGTGCTATTGCTTCTGCCCGTGGTGTTGCTTCTGTTGCCCACACGGTTGGGTATGCGTGCGCAGATGCACCCATTTGCACGTCATCCATGCTCCACTTGGAGTGTGTGTGCATTGTTGTTGATCGTGCTATTCACGACAGTGCCGGCCAAACCCCCCTTGCTTCTCTCTCTCTTCTTGCACCACGCTGCCTGCTTCCGTTCTCCATCACTCACCTCGCGCGCTCAACTAATGTTTGCATGGATGCACGCATGCTTTGTGTGCCATCAACAGGTCTACAACTTCAAGCACGATTCCACTCACGGCAAGTTCGATGGCAGCGTCGAGGCACAGGATGGCAAGCTCGTGATCAACGGCAGCCCCATCAACGTCCACTCCTGGTACGAGCGCCTCCCTTTGCCTGTGCTTGCATGCATGCATTCGTTGTGCGCGCGCGTGTCTTGTCTGTCTCGTGTCTCCTCGCTCTGTTGCTGTTCATCCCGGATTGCTTTCTCACTCCATTGCTGCTCGCCCCCCCCCCCCCCAACCACACTCACACTCACACACACACACACACTCTCTCTCTCCCTCACGTGTTCCCTCTTGTCGTTTCTTGTTTTGCCTCGTGCAGCATGAAGCCTGAGGAGATCCCATGGGGCTCTGATGGTGTTGATGTTGTTGTCGAGTCCACCGGTGTGTTCACGACCACGGAGAAGAGCCAGGCCCATCTCAAGGCCGGTGCCAAGAAGGTTGTCATCTCCGCCCCGTCTGCCGATGCCCCGATGTTTGTGCTTGGTGTCAACGAGGACAAGTACGACGCTTCCTCGTAAGTCCCAACGCAGCCCACTGTCGCCGCCGTACACGGCCGCACAGCCACTCATCTGCATATGCCCGTGCTTGTTGTGCTTGTTGTGCAAGCTTGCGCACGTGTACAAGCGTCATCGGCGCGCTCACACACACACACACACACACACACACACACACACACACACACACACACACACACACACACACTACTTACTTACTACTAC